AAAAAAACTTTTCGGGAAAAGCAACCTTTACCTTAAATTTCAATAAACAGAGTTAAAAGATCCGTTTTAAGTTACAGGCCAACTTTTTTTCGTTTAAAACTATTACAGAGAATAAACAAAGTTTAAACCGAGAGTAACTGGGAAGTTCGAGAGGCCCTACCGCGTAAAATTAATGTTTTGTTACTTCATCATCCGACGGACCTTCTCGTTGGCAAACTAATTTAAAGAAAAGGATGACGAAAAGACAACTTAATTCCCTTTTAAAAATCCACGAGTGATTCTTTTATCTGTGTGAACTCAGACGTTACTAAATTATTTAACATTACTTCATTCTAATCGGGCATTGAAAACGGAAAATCGTTTTTGAATTTAATTATAAGTACTCTTTTCAAAAATTGCAACATCATATTTTCATTATATACTACGAAAATACGAAAATCCATGTATACTGCAGTGCACAAAAGGGTGGTTATTCTAGGAAGTAAACGAGAAAGAACCTGAAGAACCCAGTCACCATCTCATTTATAGAATTGGGAGCTAAGAACCTATCATCTACCTTAAAGGGTGAAATACGAAATTAATAAATTGAAAAAAAAAGGATAAAATGAATAAAAAGCGATAAGCTTACTTTTATCTGTAGATTTATCATTTTTATTCTAAGGGAATTCTACAGTTGCAGCTGACTTAAGGTGGCTCCGTAATTAATACAAGAGCGTTTAGCTGTGACAAATTTTCCGTCATAACTTTTTCGATTTTAACGCGATGGCTGCGAAACTTTGCAAAGAACAACATATATCATTCGGCAATAATACGAAATATTCCGATTTCATTGATGGTAAATATTTCTTGAGAAATTAGCGCTTAAAAGGACCCTAATGTTCAAAGAAAATCGCGTCTACTAAAAAATTTTGCTGATATTTTTTACTGAAATTTCTGGTATCGGCTTTAATTGATATAATAAATATGCCAGAGGAATTTCAGAAAAATCGTTGGAGCAGAAGTCCGTAACTAAAAGTCGCTCAAAATTCAGCTGCGAAATTGTTTTGGAATTTCAAAAATAAATTACTATCAGGAAGAAGGAGACACCAGTTTGAATTTTCGGGACAAGTAAATTCAATGTTTGCTAATTCTTAAAACAAAAGCCGATTGCCTATCGTGCTATTCTTTAAAAGGTACTTTTCAGTTTTAGAAGCACTATAAATTGCTCCAAACCTTGCTCTGAAGTAGAATGACTTGTTCCTCGACATTTTTAAAATATCCCTTGGCAGTTTTGGTTCAAACTCCTGCTACATACATTTTGATGTATTGCAATGCATCCTCAACGGCTTTTCTTGCTGTACGTTGTTTCCAATTCAGGAAAAAGGTATTGGGATTGTAAGCTACCTTGTATCGAAGCTCAGATAGAACTGTCCAGCACCTTTGTTTATGACCAGAAAATGAGCACGTGCGGCAGCTCTGCGAGGAATTCGCACCTCAGCCAGGGGGGACGAATGATAATGATACCCATGTCTGTGAACCGATCTGTATAAACATGTATTGCAGAGCAAAACATAATAATCAAGAAAAAATACCCATTCATTGAAGGAAGGAGTGACAAAAATTTCAGAGTTGTAAATTTATTCACGGGCAGTATTTTTGCGATAATTTTATTTTGCACTGTGATGTTATTCGGTTCACAGGCATGGTCATCATTGTCGTTCGTCCCCCCTGGGTGAGGTGCGAATTCCTCGCAGAACTGCCGCTCGTGCTCATTTTGTAGTCATAAACAAAGGTGCTGGACAGTTCTATCTGAGCTCTGATACGAGGTAGCGTCCAATCTCAATACTTTTTTCCTGAGTTGGAAGCAACGAACAGCAGTAAAAGTCGTTGAAAATGAATTGCAATACATCAAAATGTATGCAGCAGGAGTTTGAGCCAAAACTGCAAAGGATATTTTAAAATGTCGAAGAACAAGTCATTCTACTTCAGAGCAAGGTTTGGAGCAATTTATGGTGCTTCTAAACTAAAAAGTACCTTTTTAAAGAATAGCACGATAGGCAATCGGCTTTTTGTTTTAAGAATTAGCAAACGTTGAATTTACTTGTTCCGAAAATTCAAACTGGTGGCTCCTTCTACCTGATAGTAATTTATTTTTGAAATTCCAAAACAATTTCACAGCTGAATTTTGAGCGACTTTTAGTTACGGACTTCTGCTCCAACGATTTTTCTGAAATTCCTCTGGCATATTTATTATATCAATTAAAGCCGATACCAGAAATTTCAGTAAAAAATATCAGCAAAATTTTTTACTAGACGCGATTTTCTTCGAACAGTAGGGTCCTTTTAAGCGCTAATTTCTCAAGAAATATTTACCATCAATGAAATCGGAATATTTCGTATTATTGCCGAATGATATATGTTGTTCTTTGCAAAGTTTCGCAGTCATCGCGTTAAGAACCAAAAAGTTATGACGGAAAATTTGTCACAGCAAAATGCTCTTGTATTAATTACGGAGCCACCTTAAACAATTTTAAAGATACAAAGTATGCTAATAAATAATTAACTATCTCATAAAGACCAGACATTTAAGTGTCATTGTCTGAGAAAACCGGGCAGAGGCCACGGATCGAGGTCAACCGATTCCTTTCATCTTTTGGCTGTTTTCAACCTTCATTGAGACAGGATGAATGGCAGTATTCTTAAACTTCATCAGCTTTTAGTTTCCAAGATCAGACCACCCCCCCTAAAAACCAGCCGACAGCAACTGAAAATACGTGTAATTTAGATGCTTAACTTCGGCAACGCGTAAAATTTTTTCTCGCGCTGCAAATACCTCCAACTTCAGGATACTATTATTTCGATAGACCTGCTATGATTCTAGGTTATCAACGGCCACTTCCAACCATTTATCAATGTCTCAAAGGCAAAATAATTTGCACACAGAAAAATTTTGAAATATTATTTGCTTGATGAACCACTTTTTCAAAAATCGTTTTCTCAAAAAGGCGGCAGTTTGTGAGGAAATGAAATACTTCTTTGTACTCATTATTACCCTTACTATACATGTAAAAAAAACGAAGTTGGGACCTGGTAAATTAGAGGCGCTGTCAGCGATAGTTTGAGGTCCACTTTATCACCGATGCGGACGATATGTCACGTCACGGCCAGTTCGTCACGCACTGTTTGATCGCACATAATTATCATTACTCAAAGAAATGTTAACTCCTCGATTGTTTATGGGTCAGAAAAGTAAAAACGTTGAGCATTTATCTCTATTCATACAAAAAGGAATTTAAAAAATAACAACAACAACAACAACAATAAACGCATAATGCGAGCGAATTGTGGAACCCGTTTCTAGCAGAAGTACGTGAATGATGCCGGTATCAAATTGCATAATTCTTGATATTGAAAAAAAAGACCGCCATGAACTCGGTATATGTTCCGTCGTATAAAAGCCCTTTACATGTACTTATTTTTATCAGCTACTGAAACGAAGGATAAGTGCCGAGAATAAAAAACTATTTCGCAAAAACACCCTCTTAACCATGACCCAATTAAGACATGGCAGCCATGGCCGAGATACCTGAAAGAGCAAGGCAAGCCAATTTCCCACATGAAAACCATGGATAAAGAGGGGGACTCAGAATGAAAAACTATGATTGGATAAAAGAAATCCACATTTTTTTCGCCGCCGAACACTTGGATAATAAATAAAAAACTTTTCCCAGAAAAGCAGGCGCGTGAGGAGATCATCGGAGATTGTGACGCACGTAGGTTACGAATTTAATGGTTTTGAGCTAAAACATAAAAATCGATTGGCGGGATAAGCTAGCTAGGGATATCCAAGTTCACACCGCTCAATCCCACAGATGGTGATTGGTTTATTCGCAACCAATTAAACCAGCCTTAGCAAACCGCGGCGTTTTAACAGGGCTCCAGAGTTTGAAAAACACCGTCCTTGTTGTAATTTTCATGTGAGTTGGATTGACCTAGCTAGCAGGTGAACGTAGGGGTCTAGCGGGCAGACTGTGCCACGCTGTTTCACTTAGTGATTTCTTCGTTATCCACAGTTTTGCCTTCATCTATGGTCAGTAAAAAAAAAAGAATGGAAAACAGTCGTGCCCGCTTCTAATAACAAGCCATACCTTAGCCTCATTTAAGTCAAAAGGTTATAAAAAACGGGTTAGAAGGTCTTGGTTAACCATATGCCCCTAATTAGCCTAAATATTCAGTAGGGCGATTTGCGTATGACCTTGAAAATCGTTTCAGTAAGTGTTCGTTATTTGTTTTATAAGCCAATGGATGAAAAGATCAAAACATGGACTATTTGTTCTCCCGCCAAAGAAAACCCAATAAAAGGGAAGAAAGCATTGTTTGATTGGCCAATCTTGTTGCAGTATGACATCAAAGCGAAGTATCCCATTGATTTCTAAAAGTTCTCGGGCATAAACATTTTTTTACCCGAGCGTTCGCTTAACCAACCAAAAGTCACGTGCGTTTGTATCCGTTCGATAAACCAATCAAACCGCTTTATTTCTGTTCCTTTGTTGTTTTCATTTCAAGGTTATACGAAAATCGCTCTTCTGAATATTTAGGCTATTTAGGGGCGTATGTAAATAAATAAATTTACATAAATTTACATAAATTTGTAACGATTGTTTAGGTGTCCTTAATACACACTCTTAACTACTATATACAATGTCAAAATGCCGTAATAGCAATCGTAAAAAATTGCGTCACCACTGAACTGGTCTCTGACTGAGTCATCTAGGCTTCTCTCATACGACTGTTTTTGTTTTAAGTTAATCGACCCCGATACAGTCGATGTCTTACAACAAATTGCTACATGAACAAGAATTAACTAACTCCTCAATGGCGTTTATGAAGGTAACTTTTCTTTGCTGATTTCCAGTGGTCGTCAAAGAAAGATTTGTACAGATGTTCTTCAGGTCTACAACTTTGAGATTTTTAAGCTTTCTCTCTTTTGCCATCAAGCAAATATTGTGGCCTTCAGAATAAACTGGGTGTTGAAGATCCACTGCACTGTACATTTCCTTCCGTATACTCTCTGCTTCTAAGCGATCTTCCCAGCTCCTAAGATCCTCTTCATCGACATTTTCTTCATCACGTAATGTTACTGCAGCGACATGACTGCTTTTCTTTAATGCTGACAGTCGTGAAGAAAAGCTGCTTATTTGCCGTGCAGTTTTCCAGTCTTCTGGCAAAAATACAGGTGAACCATTCGAGTCCTTAGCTTCCTGCATCTCCTTTGCGACTTCTGACGGATTTGCCTTCTGGCCACTAAGGCCCTCATTGAATTTTGCAATCAAAAAACGTTTAACGTTCTCGGAGGTCTTAGTAGCAGTTTTTTGACCTTTTAGTGCCCGACCCTGCGAAGTGGGAGCTTCATTTCCATTGCTTGTACCAAGCGCTCGGGTTGATGTAGTTGGCACGCTCAGAGTCGTCCGGGAAGCTATTTCGGTAACATGCTGCGCCCATTTTCTTCGCACACTGTCGTAAAGTGTTTCGCGTTCCAAAACAAGCTTATGAACTCCAGTGTCCATATGATTTTGTGCTTCGTTTTCGTTTTCAAACGTTACCACGCAGCCTGGTGTCTCGCAGAAAAAGACCTGATTTTTGGCGGATCGCTCTTTATAAGTGGGCCTCGTGTTGAAAATGCCTTGGGCCTGGGGAATTGCCCCAAAAGGTTGTAACAACTTCAATCCAGTCTTCCCCTGTGGTTTCATTCCTTCACACGACACCAGTTTTCCGGGACCAATTTGGTATGCACTCCAAATGCGAATTCCCTCTTCTGTAAACTCAAAATTGTTTAGCTTGCTAATTCCTTTGATTTTGTTTGTCCCACCAGTTTCATTAGCTAAGTTAACAGCGGCAACAGCTACTCTGCTCCCTCTGACACCTCCATGAGACTCAAGAGCTTCCTTCATTTTTGCAGCAGTTGCCACATCGTGCTTCTCGTTCACATATCGTCTAATGTGGGCTTTCATTCGGAGCTATTTTTCTGTCACATATGTCTTTCCCTGCTTGTGGTTCTGAAAAATCGTATCTACGGATACGTATCCCAGTTCTTGAACCAATGGCTGGAAGAGCAAGCAACAAGGCTGCGTTGTGATAGCAAGCGCCATTGTCTGAGCGAAGAAACACTTCTGAAATGAATGGCTTCTCTCTCTTAAGAATCTCTAATAGATTCTCCACGATGGATGCGACAGCAAACCAGTCTTGTTTGCATTCTTCAAATAAATGAGAAAAACACTGCACTGAATAGCCGTCCTCCTCTTTCTCAATTACTCAGCTTACGTGCCAGCTCTTACCTCTCTTTCCAAAGAAATCCCTCATTTGTTCTCTGTAGTACAGAGGTAAAAATTTCATGGCCCAGTCCATGACGATAAGGCAGCTACCACCGTCAAGCGCACTCAACACATCTTGTTTGGCAAGATCTTGATTAACAGCGCGTAGACTATGCGCTTTCCATGCGCATATGGCTTCTTGTGCTTTACCGTGCTCAAACTGAAGCTTTCGTTTGGTTAAAAAATCACCATCTTCGTTGAATGCACCCTCTATTTCAGCGCCAATCTGTTTAATGACCGTCTCAATACCACGACAGGCGTCACAGCGAATGTCGTGAACATGACTACACGTGCCCTTAAATGGCGGATCATTGGGGTCACTCAGTGCATACATTGTACAATGGTCTCTCATCCTTGCTCACATGCAACCTGAAGTCGGCTTTAAGGTATCTCTTTGCATCTGAGAGTTGCTGTTTGGCTTCTTTTTCCCAGTTGGAAGTTACGGCTTTAGCAGCTTTGAGAGTACTGACCATGTCTTCAAGTGAATCAAATGCTTGCACGCCGTCCGTGGTAATATAGTCGAGGCCATGCAATGACTTCTGCATGGAAGCGGAGCAGACTTCTAAAATCCTGAAGAGAGTGCGTTCGCTTGCCGGATCAAATCCGATTTCTCTACAGTAAGCTTGATATTGTGCAATAATCCTTGACGGTATTAGGGTTCTTATCACTGCAGGTATTACAGCGTGTCCACCACTGTCTAGTTTCAGTTTTCGGGTGCCGTATGCAACATCTTGTAAGAAGCAAGGTCTTGATATGTAGTCAACCAAATGATCCGTCTTCACAGGGTCTAAGCGTGCGCGAAAAATAGGCTTATCATGAATGGGCTGGCCTTCGCCTACGTCAGTGGCATGGCAACGGGCTTGGTCAATCCGCCATTTCGATAGGCCAGGGATCATTTCTTGAAGCTCGGTTTTGCTAAAGTCATTTACAAAAAGGGAAAGAATCTGGCGCTTTGTTTGCCAGTTTTCAGCGTCGTTATGGGCAGATATAAGCGTTTGTACAAGGCCAGTGTCTATTCGTTTTCTTTTCGCTGGTGGTTCCTCACTTACATCTGCAATTTCCCTTTCTTCTCGCAAACAGTTCCACATGTACTCTTCTTGCCCAGGAACAACAACAGATAATGCTGCTTGAATAACCTCCTTCATTTTGCGCTGGTAATATTTTTGCTGTGTGACTGACACATCATCCCATGAAGTGTTTAGTGTTGATGCAATAGGGCTGTAACGACCTTCAGTAAGCTTTGCAACGGCATTGTTTAGCGTTTCTCTCTTCTCGTGTTGCAGTTCTTTTTCATCAATCCACAAGCTTGTTTCTGCCTCGTCCTCCGTTTCAATCACTGAATCCATGGTTGAAATGTCAACTTCACTTTCATATGCTGAAGTAGAGCTGATATTTGGTCGCTCGGGGGACTCATTAGTAGAAGTCATTAACACTGACAGCTCTTGATCCTGAATGACAAGAGGGCTCTCCTAACATCACGAGAAAATAATAAACAATTATTCGATTCGGTTTTTGTGATATATCCGGAATAATCAAGGTCGAGGAAAGTGTCATCAATCAACCGAGCCGAAGGGCGAGGTTGATAACACTTACCGAAACCTTGATTATTTCGGAAATCACAAAAACCGAATCTAATTATTGTTTTACCTGTTTTATTATACATTGCTGTGAAGAAACGGCAAACATACAATCGTACAGAAACACACGTCGCTATCTAGTTGGAAATCATGCATTGCGCGCCCAACCTACAGAGTAGCCAGTAATCTGCTGGCATATAACTGAGTAACCTGGCCAATGAAACGACAGAACGAGAGTACAATGTATAATAAAAATAATTATTATACATTGTACTCACAGTGCGCCTTCGCGAGGCTGCTCGTTGGCAATTAACACAAAATTGTTTTCGCCAACTTACTGAGAGTATACAGCTATTTCGAGAAAGGTTGTCGGAAAAAGTGCACGCGACAATCCCGAAAGGTATAGTTGTGGGTGGTTTTGAGTTTATGTTCTTTAAAGAAATTTTGAAAGAATGGCACGAGAGAGGCCATGGACGTATGTTTGCGAGTGCTAAAGGAAAGCAACAAAAGTAGGTTCGACAGCTACAGTGTCAGGATCAGTGTATTGATAATATCCCATACCTTTCAGGATTATCGCGTGCACATTTTTTCCGACAACCTTTCTCGAAATAGCTGTTAAGTCTTCATTAATTCAAAACATAGTCCCCGCAAAGCACCTCCACAAAATTTAGCATCCACGAGAAAAATTTAGTGCCACACGATAACCACTATGCGTTTTATTTATGTGTTTTAGTTATATGTGTCATTCGCTTTTCAAATTTAACTGTAATGTAAAATTGCTAATCAGGGTAGTATGAACTTACCACTACAGTTGTCTCAAGTTGCTTTGCTTGTCGTATCTGGTAGTGTCTTTTTCTGCACTTTGTACATATAACTAACGAGGCCAAGGCAAAATAAATTAATAGATAAATAAATAACGTGTCCTGATTTTGTTTTCTCTCACAAAAATGCTGGGATGGAAAAATAAGGAACTATCACTCCTTTCTCACTCTTTACACAGTCGTGATGGAAATAAACTAGGGTTTCTAGTCAAGATACCAAAAAAATAAGATCCTTTCTGTAGAATCACAGGCTACCCAAGCTCAGTTATGATAACTGTATTAAAGTCAATGATAATGTTCTCCGGCACGAAGTGTTCTATCAATGCATGTACAAATGTTTTCTCATACCTGCTCCAAGTGGAACTGAATGGTTTTCCAAGAAATTTATGCTTCTCGACATTTCCAGGTTGACGCGTCGAGAATTATTCTGCTTCGTGCGCTTTCCCAGATGATCAGGATGAAAACATGTCAATCGCTTTCTACCCGGCCATCCATAGGTCGAGAGATATCTATGCCGTGGGCACACAGTCAATTCGTCTACCTGTTTCTGGCTGGGCGCGATAAAACCGCCACGGTTAAAAAGGACTTCAGCTTCGCCAATTTGCGTATTTCCACTTTGCGTTTTTCCACTTACACCGAGTGCGGACAGATGGTCAAATATATTATTCGCACACGACTTTACTGGAACGATAGTAATGTCCTCTTTTCCCGGTGCAGGTCCACAATGTGAATCTTCGGAAAAAAAAGGAGCAACTCATTTTGAAGATGCTATCGTTTTTAACATCGACAGAAAAGTGATGAATATTTTCCGACGCGTGGGTGAAAATTTTGTAATTAGGATGACTGACAGGTGAAATCCAAAAAAGTAAAGAAAACTTATTCAAGTTTCTCTAAAAAAGAGCCCCATAAAAATTAATATTTCAATTTTTTTTTCAGTTGAACTCAGCCGTCATTTTAATAGCCAAGTTTGTATCGAAAATTCCTCGAAAGACATTTTTTACTTTTTATTAGTTTTTCCCGAAGAATCTGCGGACTGTAAAACTGGCGTTGTGCCATCGCGCAAATGTAAACAAAACGGAAACAGTTTTCAAAGAAAGAATGCTGATGTTTTACGGATAGCCTTATTTTATAAACTTTCTTTTTTAATAAGAAGCTGAATTTTGTATTTGTAATGTACCGAATTTCTCGGTAAGATTTATTTAAGTCTCAGTCAATTTAGAATGCGTGACAAACTTTCCGTGACATGACCTTTCGCCCGATATCGGCGATAAAATGGACTTTTAACTCTCGTTAGCAACGTTTGTAATTTACCAGGTCCCAAACTTCCGTTTTTTTACATGTATAGTAGGGGTAATAATGAGTACAAAGAAGTATTTCATTTCCTCATAAACTGCCGCCTTTTTGAGAAAACGATTTTTGAAAAAGTGGTTCATCAAGCAAATAATATTTCAAAATTTTTCTATGTGCAAATTATTTTGCCTTTGAGACATTGATAAATGGTTGGAAGTGGCCGTTGATGACCTAGAATGATAGCAGGTCTATCGAAATGATAGTATCCTGAAGTTGGAGGTATTTGCAGCGCGAGAAAAAATTTTACGCGTTGCCGAAGTTAAGCATCTAAATTACACGTATTTTCCGTTGCTGTCGGCTGGTTTTTAGGGGGGGGTGGTCTGATCTCGGAAATTAAAAGCTGATGAAGTTTAAGAATACTGCCATTCATCCTGTCTCAATGAAGGTTGAAAACAGCCAAAAGATGAAAGGAATCGGTTGACCTCGATCCGTGGCCTCTGCCCGGTTTTCTCAGACAATGGCACTTAACTGATGACTAATAAGCCCTGATGACATTTTCTGCTTTTCCATGAAAACTGTCTGATCGCAATCGGGAGCGGTTCATTCCCTATCAAGGCCTTCAGTATGGCAAGTCGTTTAGCAATGTTAGCGCTCTTGCTGGCTTGTGTTGTTTGGGGAGCTTGGCTAAACTACGTTGCAACTGCCCGCGTCGAAGGTGAGGCCGGTTTACAGATTTAGCTATTTTCTTTTTCACGATTTTTCTTCGTCAACAGCAGCTATAACCTTTTTTTTTGTGTCTTTAGCAGCGAAGATCAAGATTTGCCATTATTTCAGCTATTATTTACGCAAAAGACCTTGTAAGGTCGCAATTTGTCAAGAAAGCTTAATTCATCGCTTCAACTCTAGGAGAATTTTGTCCAGCGCGCCGACGACTGAACCACCACCTGAACCGTTAGCCTGAGTCACATACAACTTAAGTATGATACGAACGCGGATTTTTCAGTCCGGCTTAGGTGAAGTTGGGTTAAATTTGTAGATGCGACTTAACACTCAACGGAGATTTTGCCATCACGGGAGAATCTTTAAAATTTTCGCGTTTAAGTACATCACATAACGGACAGTTATTGCTGCGGAGCGACCGAAGGGAGCGAGCAGCAACATAATCAGGATTTAAAGGAAATATATAAGGGGAGACGAATTCTCGAATTCATCACTTTTTACCACAATGCATTGCATTTAACCAGAGTGCATTGCGCCACTAACAACTCAAATAAAAACACGGGGAAGGTCGGTGGGTGAGAGAGTGCATCGTTCGCTGCTCAGACTTAGAGTTTTCTTTGTGACAAATTTTCTACAGCACGGTTAGAGGTCTCACCAAATTTTAAGACACGCAGGAGTCTTTCAGATGAATACGATGGTTAACTTGGGGATTGGATTTCAATTCAAGAGCCTTTGACTCGTCCAGGTGTTAAACCGTGACGAGAAGATGAGCATTTGCTCTTCGACTCCGCAACACGGGGGATATACAAATTCCAGCTGGCTAGAAGGTGATGTGAAAGTGAGAAAATGTCATGCAATGCTATTCTTAAGAAACTGTGATTTGGACCATTCGCTTCAAAATAACAGCGGAAATCGAGATAACGAAACATATGTTTTGTGTCCTACTTTGCAGACGAGGACGTGTATCGGCGTTTTGAAAAGCATAATTATGTTCTTTCATTCATTCATTGCCTTGGAATATGCGTTTACATTGTATATTCACTGTTAATAGCTCGGTTAATGCGGCTGACGATCATCTTGCCGGCGGAAGTTTCATGGAAAAGGAATAAAATGAAAGACTTTTCCTAACGACTTTGTAGTCAGCGTCTGTGGTGTAGTGGTTAGCTGTAGTCGCGTCGAGTCGAAGGTGCCGGGTTCGAGTCCTATCGACTTAGTTATTCCTATTTTCTTTTTTTTCCGTTTTTTGTGTTGTTGTTTTCTATAAATATATATCTAAATAACTGTTACTTAATAAAGTGCAACAAACAGCAAGAAAAGTATTGTGTTTCCAGAGAAAATATCGTGCACCGTGTGTTAAGTATATGGATAAACAATCTGAATTTCTATTATTTCCTACAATTTACTGTGGGAAAACCAGAGTTGATAACCACTTGATCATTTTCTACACAACGTTCCCACGAGTTCTTTCTATAGACTGATATTAATTATACATGTAAATAGGACATTCAATGTCATTTTCGATTCTTTTAATTCTCACTGCTTAACTAATGCCAGTATCAACAGAATGTGCCGCAGCATTACTATCTTTTAGATACCCTAGTCTAAGCAGTAATTAAACTGCATTTTCACCGTAAGAACATCCACTGTTACCCTGGGTACCAGAGGTTTTTCTCGCGTGCGGCGGGAATTTTCCGTGTTGGCCGAAGGCCGACACGTCTTCGGCCGTAGGCCGAAGCCACGAGCGGCGAAGCCGCCAGAAAAACCTCTGGCACGGAGCAGTGCTTTTTACCGTCCCCGTTGACCTTTGAGCTTTTTTATCGGATTACATTTACGCCAATCAGACTGAAAGTCTCCGACTGTGATCATGTGGGCCGGCACGTGAAGAAATGTCCAAAGACCCACATTATCCTTAGAAAGACAAGTTCGAGTTTAAAATTCATTGCTTTAAGAGCAATCATGACTGGGTCAAATCGAAGTTCTCCATAATTGATGTACCTTCAGTTTAAGCTGCAATCCATTCTTCGAGATTTGGATCTGAAAATCACTATCCGTGAGAATTTAACATTCTGCTAAAAACGCTAACGAGCTGGGCCCAGCGTGACAAAACATTGCAGGAAACCGTCACTTTCACGGACAAAAGAAAATCGCTTATAATATTCAGATCCAGGAGGCACTTTGGAGAAATTAAACAACCTAAAACCCTCATTTAGCCGCATTGAAGAGCTTAACATTTCAAAAGAGGTCAAAGAAAATGCTCTTGCATCAGAGGGCAAATCATATGCCGACCAGACACAATAACCGCAGAAAATCAATATGCGTGTCACGACCTCTCAGTATGAAACAATCGGCAAAAATCAAATTTGCTCAGTTGAAACGTTTTTCTCCAGAGCATAATCTACCCATCACGGAAAAAAATTCATTGGAACAAGCAGCATTTTGGCATGAGGTAAAAGTAGTGTGTTGCCTTCTGACCCCTCTTTTGTACTAAGAATACATGTTTTGTTTTTATATTCCTAATCCATCAATACAAACCATTTCAAAACATGTTGTAATCGTCTGAAATAGGAAATGAGTAAAGCTTAAACCTGCTGCAAAAGCTGAATTGGTGATAATAGCTTAATTGCGTTGAATAAAATTAAATACTCCACTTGTTTGCTCATAGCTTTTGACTTGTCTACACCGTCAAACCCTTCTAGTACATTGCTTGTCATGCTCTTTCAAAACTTTCCAAAGCCGCCACCACAACACTTCTCGCGAGTACAACAACAGCAAAGTTGGAAATATTCTTTCACGTGCTGGTTTATTCTTGTCAACCAATTGTAGCGTCTGTTAGATTCAAAGTCCCTCAGGTGGTCGTTAGTAGCCAATCAGCAGTCTTGTCCAAAATCTGGACCAACTGATTTAACCGTGCTAACGATTGGATCGGCGCCATCAAAGCAATAGCGCCCTGCTCCAGAGGCTTTTCGCGCGGGTCACTATAAAGACTTGACAGAAACCGGAAACCGCGCTAGAAAAGTCTCTGGCACCCAGGGTAACCCACTGTGCAAAGGATATCGAAATTTGAGTAATAAAACTAGTGAAAAGTTTCCAAAACAAGCAAAAATGTTTTTAATTGTTTGTTTTGTTTTTCTTTTTTCCAAAAAGCTTTACGAGAAAAGCAACCTCTGCATTAAATTTTAATAAACAATTGGTCAGGAGTTGAAATATCATTCTTGAATTATGTTACTCGCCAACGTTCTTTAAAATCTATTAAATCGTCTTTAAATCGGAAGCTCGAAAAGGCCACACCCTAGTGGTGTTTTCCTGGTCCCCGAGTTTTGAAGAGAAAGCCCAGTAACGTTAGAATGCTGGCGGATGCTGGAGGAAAAGGTTTAAACCCCGAGGTACTCCGATTAAATGACCAATACTGGGAGACTCCGCCCGAAAGGGGCACCTTTTGTAGCGTAAGGATTTCACTATAGTTAAAGTATATGAAAAGGGAGGGAAATCTGTCACTTCGGACGGTAATAGAGAGAAACAGGTGCATTTTCTGTTCTGGTTTTGTAATTTATTCATAGCGGAGTTCTTGCATGCGCGAAGCGGAGTCCCATGGGTAAGAGAATTTGGTTATCTATACATCCAAGAAATTTTGGTTCTAAGAAAATCATCCGTACGTTCGTCTGTAGGTAACTTAACCCTTTCATGTAAGCCGGGATGAAATTTTGCATTTCAAGCACCTGCCACGCGTTTCGGCATGGCCACCCGGATCCTTAGAGAGAATAAACAACAAACACAACAAAGCCGATTCTTTCTTTCGACTAAATTTCAATGTCTACACTGATGTGGATAACAGAGAAAAAGCTAGACTGAGAGATAAAAAACAAAGGAGACCAAGTTCGTTGGAAGTGAGAAAACTATGAAATTTTTATACCGGCAGTGAGAAAATGAGAAATGCTAGCGGCCACCGAGGTGAAAATAGTCATCAACGGCAGTGAAAAAAAAAAAAGGGAACAGGAACACATACGACAAATGCTCCATAAAACGCGTTACTAGGAAGTTTCTGGAAGTTTCACGTTGTAGTCGTGCAAAACAACAACAAAGAAACGTACAAAAAAAGAAATTGTGCTGCACCCGGCAAAGTTGTTTTTTTCCTAAGTAGACCTACTGATTTTATTTTGGCCGTTTTGGTTGCCGTCTCCGCTTAGCATTACACGATTTTATTCTTTGTTTGAGTTAACTATAAAAATTAACGAGAGCTTTAAACCCAGCACATTTACGACAGTCAAAAGGGAGATAAAATTAACGTTCTAAACTAGATTTGTGAAAGGGGTACCATTTTGTCAATAGAAGGTACATAAAAAGGGTACCCCTTCTAGCAAAAATGGTATTTAAAAGGGTAAAGGGTTGGACATCGGAAGGAGCCTTTCCGTATAAAATTTTGTTGAGTACCCCCGGGGTCTGAACAGTTTTGAATAAGAAAACGCACTTCATGCAGGTTTAATACAAAAATGGAATTGGATTATAAATGAGCGCGAGTAAAATTTTTGCACTGGCCCGTTAAAATGTCAAGTAATTCTGGCAACGTTTTCGTGCAACTAGTCGCACAACATTGTTGCATTGCAAGTTGAAAAGCGTTGTTGCTCCCAACTTCGCTCCCAACTTGTGACGCAACAAATTTCAATGTTGCAAGTTGCGGAAACAGGTCGCACAAAGTAGGCCTGAGTTCAACTTTTTGCTACAAACTTTCAATTTTATGTTTTGCGTCACAACTTGCTATGCTTCACAACACTTGTGATTGGTCAATTTTCCGGCACCAAAAGCGCGGGAAAGATGGTGAGTAAGCGCGCACTTGACCTCATGTAAATTTTGGGCAGGAACTAATTATAAATGGCCCGTCAGGACGAGTGCAATTTGCGGTCTTTGAAAATTTTACAGGTCCTCTGCATTTCTTGCAAATTACATGAGAAAAATCATGTGATTACTAATTAGTATACATACCGTTATTGCAGTGCAATAAAGTCAGTCAAATTCTCTCTTAATTATATCAATTTCTGTTTCAGGAACCTGCGGACAAAACAACCGACGCATCACATTTCTGACACCAGTCGGAGGGTTTTACCTTGAAGGACACGTGTTTTCAAATCATTCTGTGGAACTAAACCTAGACTGCCAAGACCAATGCGCCCTTGCGAGGGAATGTGTTTCATATAATATTGGTCCAAAGATCAACAACAAGATGGCCTGTGAACTCAGTAATTCAGATCACTTGCAGCACCCAGAAGATCTCAAACCAAGAATGGACTGGATCTACAGAGGGACAAAGGTATGATCTATAAATTTGTAATGTATGTAACTTTTTTTCTTGTAATAATTTTAACTGTGTCACGAGTCAACAAAAAGATTGTTGTTGTTGTTGCAAATAATGTTATCAAGTCAAGATGAATTTTCAACCATTTCCACTATCATGTAGGAGTTGATTTATGATATTTCCAAGCTTCTGATGATAAAGATGATAAAAATGTCGGTGTTGGCGGTATATGCAGTTTCCTATAATTTATTTTAAATTCTAAATCTCCTCTTCGGATTGGCTGCAATCCACCCTTTAAATTTTCATAATTACACGTTAATTTAAAAACCTGGATGATTTATGTCCATTTTTCCGCTATACATAATTATGTGTTTGTATTATTGGACGCTCGACGACGGTCGCCTAACTTACAAAAAAGAAATATTAAATAACGTCGCACACCAAAAAGAGAACAGTTTTGGCAGTAAAGAAAAGAGTTCAAAACGGCTTAAGGCACTAAAAAAAGATGCAGTTGAACTTCCATTGAGTGCCCATTAATTATTATTATTATTATTATCGACTTTCGGTTTTTGTTTTCGAGCCTTTTTGGGCTGCCGATCGCGCGGGATATCTTTTCGTTCCAAAAGCGGTATTTTTTTCCTTTCGTGTACGTTTGAATTAAAATTATTGCATAATTCCAGCGAAAGAATAACGGAAAGGTTTAAATAGGAACATGGTTAATCGTAGTTTATTATAACCTAGGAGAAGCTGATTTAAATAAAAATTCATTGAAGCAGCGTTTCTTTTAACAGAATCTTTGTGCCAGTCAGCCTTGCCTGAACAACGGAACGTGCTACATGGGATATACCGAGAAGAACTACGTTTGCGCTTGCACAGCTGGTTTCAAAGGTGAAAACTGCGAACAAGGTACTCTCATCCCATTGTTGTCACCTCTATTAAGCGGCCATCAGGCACTTGACCGACTATTTTTTGTAAGTTTGGCTTTATTTCAAGAATATGATAAAGGAAAACAGTCCAAGATAGAAGTTGACGACCGATTGTGGACCAGTAATGCTGGCCCCGTCGCGTGTTTTTTTTTTTTTTTTTTTTTTTTAAATAAGGTAATATTTTTGCTAAAGATTATGCTAATTTATGACGAGGTTATATGACCAACTTCTAAGTCACACGTCTTTCAGATTGCATTAAAGTGATAAGGATTCGAAATGCTGTCGCTGCATTTATGTTTTCCAGTTTACAGCAGTTGTGCTGAGGTCTATGAAGCCGGTTTGCGAACCAGTGGTGTCTACACTATCGACCCTGATGATGCTGGAGCCTTTGATGTTTATTGTGACCAAACAACTGCCGGTGGGGGATGGACTGTGGTCCAAAAGAGACTGGACGGCTCGGTAGATTTCTATCGCGGCTGGGACGACTACAAACGAGGCTTTGGAAATCTGAATGGTGAATTTTGGCTCGGACTAGAAAAGATTCACCGACTGACAAAAGAACAAAGAAGGCTTCGGGTAGACCTGAAAGACTTCGAAAACCAAACAGCTTACGCTGAGTACGACTCCTTCGGTGTTGGTGATGAACAGAGCAAGTACAAGCTGGGACGTCTTGGACAATACGCTGGTAAGCATAATACTACACAGGAGCCTGTAATGGGCTCTTGTACTACATTAATGATGAAAACCATAAAAGGGGTAACGTTTACGTTACTATTTGAGAGGTCCCAGTTATTCAAAATTTAAAAACTTAGAAATTTAGAAAACTGGCAACTGTTGTTCGGTATTCCTGTACCCGATCTTTAACTCAGACGTTTCTTGGTTTCACCGATCTACTCTGTTTCAGCGATTGCATTGTTTTAACGCGATTCTTAGTGTTGGAAGAATAGTTTGTTCATGGTAGCTTGCTATAAACACGCGTGATTATTCCAAATCGCTTTGTTTGACAAATATAGGCGAATTTCAGGGTCGTAACGAGTTATATGGGATCAGGGATAAAAGGCAAAAAATGGGGTGGGATCAGGGATTCGACAGGGATCACAGACCCGAGATCTGGGATCCTTAGTCGTGGGATCTGAATCAGTAGTGCTGCGAGGTGATCAGGGATAGTTTTCCGACAAAAAAAAATGATTTAATGGGAAGGACCTGCCCTCGTTTAAAAACTCAGTTGTATTATGGGTGTAAGAATTTGTTCCGGTACTTAAGTGTACGTAATACGACTTTTTTTTAATAGTACATTGCTGACTCTCGGCTTATAGTTGCCTGGCTATTGACTCATTTTTTTGTAACACTATACCTTACATAGACTGAAATACCGAATTGGTCTGGGTTTTTTGACTGCCAAATAAGGACTTAAGAAAAAATTCATACAATGGACATTACCTTTTGACAATGATTTCTCTCTGCACCCTGAAGAATTATTTTATACATGCCCTTTCTTCGACAATGAAAGATGAAGTTTTTTGTGACTGACGACGACCCAAACAAACAAACGAGAAACGAAACTTCGTGGAGTGTGTCGTAGCAGGTTAGATTAGGGACTATTTTACGGGTCGGCAAAACAAGAAAACCACGGAAAACCAAAGGTGACGGTTAACGGTGATTTAATTCCAAATTCCAAAGACCGAAATCTATAGACCAAAGATTGACCGTAAACTGAAATAACAATACAAAAATCTCTGTCAATTTGCCGAAAAGGCGATACTGAGGCAAATAACGCGTAATCAACAAACAAAAGCGTGAAAACCGTAATAAAACGATTCTATAATGATTAGGTCGATAGCAAGACGGTAAAATCTACTTAAAGGCTACATAGACTGAAATTAAACAATAATTCCATAAATCTGATCTTAATCCTTGTACTATAAAGCAAAAGTGTGGGCGTTGCTCTAACAGGCGTTCAAATCCGCTTTTCGCTCATGAAACAATTATAAATCAATTAAGCTTAAATCTGTATACTTGTACAGTAACGTTCGTGTACTTTTGCCCACTTACTAAAGAACGAAACTAAACAATAATATATAGATTTAGCCAGGGCTAAAAGCGAGGCTCCCATTAGTAAATTTATAATTTAAATTAAACAATAAACTTGTATTCGAATTCCATTAGAGAAAAATAATTTGCAAACAGCCCAAGAGTGAACCAAATCTTACATCGAGTTGATAGCCTCATATGTACACTCAAAAACTGGTAATCATCTTTTATCACATTTAAGAGCCGTAATGGCTATTGATCACCGTAGATCAATTAGGCTTAGAAAAAAAACCAGGCCAACGTTTTGGCGTTCGACAAGTTTAGTTTGCAAAATCTTGCCAGCAAATCTGGGTGCGTGTAAACCAACCTTTTATACCATGGACAGAAAGCAGTATTTCACAATACAAATTGCTCTCATTCAATATTCATAAACTGTTAAAAAAATTTTCCAAAATCACCTATACGGCCATCCGGTTCCCACTTTTGTAGTGCGAGCTGTAGCGAGTGTTTGAATGAACATTAACAGAGTTACGCTCCAAGATAATAAAGAATTTATCATGTTTATTTTTTATTTGATGGTTTAACGCGCGGCATTTTGAGAACTCCTGCAAGCGATGTTCACTGAACGACTGAAAGCAATCGGCATAGCGATTAAAATTGCAAGAGAGACTACTAACAATCAATAAAAGAAATATAATTCGGTGAAACATAAACAGAGACAACAATTTTCATTCAGGAAGACAAGTATTAAAGTGTCCCTAAATATCCTGAATCTTCAAGCTTCAAGCTTAAGTTTGCTGAAGTTTATGTTTTAAGCCAGCTTCCCGGTGTTTATTTTTTCAAAGACGAACTCGAGGCAAGAAAATCGCTCAAAGCTTTCTTTTCCGGCTGGAATTATAACTAAAGATTCTTTGGAACATTTTCTTTCTATTTGCGGTGAGAAACTGTCTAAAGGCTTTTTAAAGTTTTGTAAGATTATATCAAACCAGATACTCGGTGAGATCGTTGTCTCAAATCTTACAAACGCGCATAAACTAAATTCCCGCATAAACTACGCTCCACTTCATTAAATTAGATACAAAAAACAAACATGAAATACAATAATTTCTCTGGCTTACCATTCGAGATGCAGCTCCTGAAAGTTATCAGGTAAAGCCAGTATCGCTTCAGACTTTGCAATCCTCTTACGCATCAAGCAAGGTGAAAACGAAAACGATGCCATCCGAAATCGGATTTCCGACTTTGACAAGCGACGTTTTCTCAACCAAAAACCCAATAAACAAACTAGCCATGAGTAACAGAAGACTCCTGATAGCAGCTGAATTTCATTTTGTACATCCAGTGGAAAAAGACAGTTAAAAACATCACAAGTTGACACAAAACTCTGTCAGCTTCAGCTGTTAAAGTAAACAAGATTCAAGATGCTGCATAAATTTTGCGCATGAACTCACCTGTCAAATTTTGACCAATCAGAGCATAAAAATTGGACGTAGAGCGTGACCAACGCGTGACCATTGTGAGAAAAAACAAAAGCAACTGTCTTCCCTGCCTGTAACAGCTGGCTGAATTTTCACGTCCGAGGTCAGTTTGCAATCAAAATTTTAATTGTGCAGCACATAAACACAACATATTTCATATGAATTAAGAAAAAATTGAACTTGAGCCTGCGATCACTTGAAAACTAGTTTACTTGTCAGCGGATAACTTCAAAAAATACTTGACCTCGACGGGTCGACACCTGAGCCCGCGATACGGTCAAGTGATACTGGTCAGCGGGTACTCTGTTTTGACAGCTGTCAATTGATCAAAACATTGATGTCCAATATGTGTGCACTATCAGTTTTCCTGTGCTCCCAAACTAGTAAAAGTATGAGATTGAACGTTGTTCGCGATCTAGTAAAACAGTTAACTGGTCAGCGGACAGCTTCCAAATAAATCACGTCACCTCGATGAGTTGACACATGAGCCCGCGATATGGTCATGGGATACTGGTCAGTGGCTATCCTGTTTGGACAGCTGTCAATTGACCATATTGTTAATGTCCTATATTAAAGATGTGGACTTGCCAAGACACGCCTGGGACACCCCTCCCTTCCTTTTGATAGTCTCCCCTACCCCACCCATACAATCTGTAGACGCGTACGTACGTACGTACGTACGTACGTACGTACGTACGCTCGGTCAATCACGTGACAACCAAACGAAAAGAGGTTGACCATATTCCATGGGTATGGGGCTCTGTCCCACGCGCGCTTCGCGCGCGCGGGAGCCCCGCTATAACAAAAGAAATCACTTACATATCGGTCCCGCTTGTAGCAAAGGTTAAGACAAATCACAAAACGATGTCACGAAGCATGGCTCCCCAGAAATAATCATATTATTTCACTAAATCAACTAAATAATCAACTTAACGTCTGCTGGCTGAAAGACACCTGGTGGAGCAAGAAAAACTTTTACTTCATCGTTAGCAGCTGGTTCGGGGTCAAAGGACTTGGAGAATCTGGGTCTGAAATCTGGGTTACTGTCAAGGGTCGGCTGTTAACAATCGCTTCTGTTTCACACGTCAGAGTCCTAAGAGACTCGTCGTCTAATTGTCGCCCATTATTGTTTAACAGCGATGAGAGAACGCTCCGAACGGTTCTTCAGATTTGGCGTTCCCACACACCTCCCATGTGACTCGCTGCTGGGACATTCATTTTGAAGGAAAACCAATCGCACTGCTCTTCTAATAGCTTTGCTTTAATTCTTTCTTGGTCCATTTCACCTAACGCTTCTGCAAGTTCTTTAAGAGCTCCTACAAAGTTGGTTCCCTGGTCACTTCTTAGCTGGCGGATGGGTCCTCGCGGACTGATAAATCGTCTAAGGGCGTTGATATATGAATCTGTGTCGAGGGAGTTAGATGTTCCGAGGTGTATAGCCCTCGAAGCCATACAAGTGAACAAAACACCATAACGCTTCAGCTCCTTCCGGCCATCTTTAACGATAAAGGGACCAAAATAGTCGACGGCGCAGTAGGTAAAGGGAGGGGCAGTCTATAACCGGTCTTCTGACATTCTTTGTTCTTGAACTGCTCCACGTAGTTTCTTGCACTTGACACAGGACGAGATAATGCTACTGACTACAACTGAACCACTTATTATCCAAAATCCATTCGATCGTACTTCATTGAGCGTCATGGTCTTGCCTTGGTGACTTGTACGTGCATGAAAATACCTGACAATGTGCGTGGTAACGTGGCTATTTCTTGGTAGTATGATAAGGAACTTCATGTCATCTGACAGACTTGCACGTCTGAGACGTCCACCGACTCGCAAAATTCCATCATCATCAACAAAAGGATCGAGCCTGTACAGTGACCCGTAAGTCTTTATGTTAGATTTCCTCTGTTGCGCCCAGGCTCTACTGTTAGGGTCCGGATTCTTCCGCTTTATCTGCTTCAAGACGTCTAACTCTTCCTTGAATGCGCTTGTCTGTACTGCACGAATGATAGCGCGTTCTGCGCTCTCTAACTCAGTGACTTTTACTTCTCGTGTCAATTCGTCTTTACAATGCTTCTTCTGTACTCGCGCTCTTAAACTTCTTACGTAACGTGTAAACAGAGCAATTGCTCGTTTCTCGCGATACCAGTCAGAGAAATACCTCACTCTCTCACACAGGCTTGTTTTCTCTGAATCGATTTGTGTGGTCGCCATGGTAACATGTTTCTTGACTTCGGGGTCGTTATTCTGGAGATCAAAGGTACCTTCACTGTGATCCTGGTTTATTGGCCACTGGTCTTCAGTCTTCCAAAGAAAGACAGGTCCGTTGATCCAACGAGAATGTAACAACTCTTGAGACTTTACACCTCGCGAAGCCTCATCTGCAGGGTTCTGTTTTGATTCGACGTGGTTCCACTGTTCAACTGAAGTGCTATTTTGAATTTCTTGAACTCTGTTAGCCACGAATACATGAAATCGCCTACTTTCATTGCTTATGTATCCAAGGACCACTTTGCTATCTGTCCAAAAGTACTCTTGGTCAATGTAATAACTCAATTCCCGACGCAACTGCTGGCTAATCCTCACAGAGCAAACAGCGGTGGTGAGTTCCAGTCTCGTTACGGTTACAGGTTTCAAGGGAGCAACTCTCGATTTTCCCATGACTAAGGTGCAGTGAATCCTTTGCTGCTCATCAATCATTCTCAAATAACTACACTGACCGTAACCTTTTACGCTTGTATCTGAGAAGTGGTGGAGTTCAGTGCGCACAACAGAACCAAAGTTTTCGGGCTTGTAACATCTCGAAATTGAAATTTGCTGCAAATTTAACAGGTCTGCTCTCCACTTCTCCCACTTGATCTTTACATCGTCAGGTATCGGGTCATCCCAACTTACATCAAGGCGGCATAACTCCTGAAGTATTGACTTCCCGTCTAACAAAAGCGGAGCAACGAAGCCAAGTGGGTCAAAAATCGAACTTATCGTAGGAATTATTCCTCTCCTAGTGCGCGGTTTGTTCTGTAAGACGATGTTAAACTAAAAGCAGTCAGACTCAATACACCACTGCACACCAAGAGCACGTTCCGGAAGCGAATCGAGGTCCAAATCGAGCTCTTTAACGCCATCTGCTTTATCTGATTCTGGTATTCTTCTGATGACGTCTTTACTATTCGACACGAATTTATGAAGGTTGAAACCTCCACTCCTGCACACTTGCTTCACATCTGAAATGAACGTTACAGCTTCATCGATTGAGGGAACAGACTTGAGACCGTCATCAACGTAGAAGTCATTTCGAAGACAATCTGCGGCAGCAACATCAAATTCACTTTCATAGTCATTGGCGATGAAGTGGCTCCAAACAAATGAACGGCCGTTCTATATTTTTCTGGTTCTCTAGTGACGTCACCGTCCCCCCACCAGAGGAATCGAAGTAAATCTCTGTGGCTTTCGTCTACTCTGACTTGGTGAAACATGGCTTCTATGTCGCACATAAAGGCGATGGATTCTTCTCGAAAGCGGCATAGTACCCCGGTCAAATTGTTTGTCAAGTCAGGGCCTTGAAGCAGGTGATTGTTTAAAGATTCGCCCCAATGTTCCGCCGCGCAATCAAAAACTACGCGAATTTTATTTGGTTCCTTTGGATGGTAGACGCCGTGGTGAGGGATATACCAGACATTGTTCCTTTCTGACTTGTGCATGTTTGGTACCTTCTCTGCATAGCCATTTTCAATGATATTTTTCATAAAGTTCACATAGTCCTCTCTATATTTCTGTCCCTTTGGAGCTTGAAATCTTCGTTTCAGCTGATTAAGTGGGCGGAGAGCTGTCTCTCTATTATCAGGCAGTTCGATGCGCTCGGTTTTCAATGGCAACGGAAGTTCGTAATGGCCGTCTTCGCACTGATGAATTCCCTGCTCGACTAGCTATTTCCAGAAATCGTCTGTCCTCTTAAGACAAACCATGCCTTCCGCTGTTTTTGTGATCTGAGAAATCTAGTTCGAACACCTGATTGATCGCATATGGATTTATCAACTCCTTTGTTTTTCCTTTAAGCGCGAAACTCAATCGGCTCTCACGATCTCCGGGAACTCTCTCTCTCGCTAGGGTGCGATGGCATGTGGAATTCAGGGCGCGGTCTTCCAAAGAGCTGTCTGAGGTCGCGACAGGTCCCACGATAGACCATCCTAACAAAGTGCGAACCGCATAAGGATCTTCACTCGTGCCATGTACAACCTCCTTTGGTTTGATTGCCTTGGGACAGTTACAACCAACCAACAAGCCAATTTCTGCGTCCTTTACGTAGGGCGGGATCTTATAGCGTATTTTCTGAAGGTGCGGCTACTCATCCGCAACTTCCGGTGTCGGGATTTGATCTCGTCTGGATGGAATGCTTTCTCTGGTGTACGCTTTAGGTAGCTCAACTTGGACACGTCCGTCAAGTCTTCCAACACTTCCCGACCAAGCATGGTACTAAGGTTCAAACTGGTCTGAACACCCTCTATGCCGAGTTTCTCTTTCACTTGGGTGGTAACGAAGGTCGTGTCACTTGCATCGTCTAGGAGTGCGTACACCTTTATTTGCTTTTCAGGATTAGCCTTGTGAAACAGATCGACCAAGACTATTCGACAATTGGTGATCAAGCTTTCGTTGTCCGGGACTGAGCTGTGTGCCGCGCTAATCGCGTTTGAATTTGATGATTCGGGAGCTGGCTTGCTTTCACTCCTGGCTTCCCTTTGAGGCTCTTTCTTCTTCGGTTGAAGAACGCTCAATTTTGCTTTCGTGTCTGGCTGTGGGTTGCTGGATTTGAGTTTTACTCCATGGAGGAGTGTGTGATGGCGCCTTCCGCATTCTTCACAAGTGAATCTGTCAAGACAACCCGCTGACATGTGACCCCTTTTAAAGCAGCCGTAACAAAGTCCCTTTTCACGAATGACATCACTGCGCTGGTCTACTGACTTCTTCAAGAAACTGCTGCATTTAACGAGTGAGTGCTGGCCTTCGCAGAGAGTACAGGGCTGGTACGAGTTCTCACTGGCGATTTTTGATTCTATGGGCAAGCCTCCGGTCGCAAGGGACGTTCCGCTAGCTCCGTCAACGCCTTTGCTCTTTGGTCTAATTTTCCGTCCGAACCTCGGTTGGTTTACTGTCACCGTCTTATTTCTTTCTTTCTTTAGCGCGTCTACTGAGAAAATAGGGTCGTTCGCTAGTTCTGCTTCTTCCTTAACGAATTTTACAAAGTCACTAAAGGTGATAATCTTCTTTGTTTTCGTTTGTGCTTCATGGGCGTGCCTACGCCACTTAATGCCAGAATAGGAAGGAAGCTTAGCACTGATCTGAAGGAGTGTTTGTGTTGGGTCAAGATCTCCCATAGACTTCATTGTTTTCATCGCTTCTTCACATCGCACAAGAAAGTCAGAGAACTCTTGGACACCACTATTATTTCCGTCACTGATCTTCGGCCATTTTCTGAGGCTAGACTTATACGCTTCTGCCACATTCACTGGATTTCCAAAGCGGTGGTCAAGCAATCTCCGGGCTTCTTTGTAAGCGCTGTCCGAGCTCATAGCTAGATATCCTTTCACAACTTCGTTCGCCGTATCCTTAGTGTACTTGTCTAGGAAGAAGAGACGATCTCTGTCCAAGGGCACATTAGCATGATGGAGTCAAAGGCAGTTATAAACGCTGGATACTCGAATGGATCTCCAGAAAAGATAGGCGGCTCTTTTGCTGGAAGGTGGGTAGTCTTCTGCTGACTTATTATCATCGAACTTAACTCTGCTTGTTTTGCTTGAATTTTACTATTTCGCGCATGGCAGCGCTGATATCTGGACTAACGTACGGCGAGGATGAGAAAAACGGTTCTGATCGCAGAATCTCGAGAGACTCTGGTAAGTTACTTGGGAGGAACGTTCGGGTCCATAGGAAAATCTCTCTCATTCTTAATCAACCTTTCGGCACCCGTGCCTGGTTTGAGATCTTGTCTCACGCTTTTCTTTTCTTCCTTAGTTTGTCTTCATCTATTATTCTTTTAATTGCATCCTCTTCGGCATTCGCAATCGCTATTTCCTTTTCAAGATGTAAGCGCCTTATTTCTCTTTCTTTATGGAAAAGTTCCATTTCGGCTCGTAACTTCACTGCTTTAGCGACTGCATCGACTAAGGCAAGAGAAATTCGATGAGACGAGGAAGATCGAGAAGACCTGACAGACGACTTCCTACTGTGCCTGGACTTCTCGGATGGAGGTCGAGTGGATATTTTTTCCAGTGCCTGAATGCGCTCGCAGATTCTTATCCTACATTCAGTTAACTCTCGATCACGGATATCGAACTATTGGTAGGAGGCGTCTTTTTCTTCTGACGATTCCAACAAATCATCGTACGCCTTTTGCGCGTCATTAAACTCATCTTTCAAAAGCGATCTAAATAATCCCTCTCTAAGGCTAATTGTTCAATTGTTGTCTCAGGTAAGTCACGCATTATATTGATCTTCTCTATCTGCCTTTTCAGTTTCGCAAGCGCACAATCACGGTTAGCTTGTTTAATCCCTAATTGGTAAGCTTTTCCTTTTTCCGTCATTTTTCTTGTGCGAGGAGCTTCAGTTTTCGAAATGGAAGATGTGACGCTTGTTACGCTCTTTGACGCCGGATGTGTTTGTTTTGGCGCATTATCTCGGGTAGGTGTCGGCGTATGGTAACGAAGGTATGCGACGCTAAAGACACTCATAAGGCCATCAAATAAAGTTTCAAAAGTTCAAGCAATGTTCAACAAATGTTCATAGCCATCGGCAAACAATTAAAGACTGTCGGTATTTTACTGTGGCTGGCGACGACCAAAACAAACAAACAAACGAGAAACGAAACTTCGAGAGGTGTGTCGCAGCAGGTTACATTAGGGACTATTTTACGGGTCGGCAAAACAAGAAAACCACGGAAAACCAAAGGTGACGGTTAACGGCGATTTAATTCCAAATTCCAACGACAAAAAATCTATGGACCAAAGATTGACCGTAAACTGAAATAACAATACAAAAATCTCTATCAATTTGGCGAAAAGGCGATACCGAGACAAATAACGCGTAATCAACAAGCAAAAGCTTGAAAACGGTAATAAAGCGATTCTTTAATGATTAGGTCGATAACAAGACGGTAAAATCTACTTAAAGGCTACATAGACTGAAACTAAGCAATAATTCCATAAATCTGATCTTAATCCTTGTACTATAAAGCAAAATTGTGGGCGTTGCTCCAACAGAGGTTCAATTCCGCTTTTATTTTCGCTCATGAAACAATTATAAATCAATTAAGCTTAAATCTGTATACTTGTACAGTAACATTCGTGTACTTTTACCCACTGACTAAAGAACGAAACTAAACAATATAACAAAAGAAATCACTTACATATCGGTCTCGCTTGTAGCAAAGGTTAAGACAAATCACAAAACGATGTCACGACGCGATTCCTTCTTGACTTTTCCTGCCCAAAAGGACGCTAACGCGCGCTTTTATACCCGCGTGGGGACGCCGAAATATCTCATTACAAAACTAACAGAAAATCAGGTAAACATTGTAACTACGCTAGTAACTAGGATCAAAACATGAAAATCACGAAATCAATGAAAGGTATTGTTCTTATGTCTTGTCCTTTACATTTTTCAATGGACAAAACCCTGTTATCACAGCAGTTGTTATTGCACTTGGCACTGTAAACTACTATTGTACTTTTGTGCTGACCATGCTCAAAAGACCATATATGGTCTCTTGCAAGCCTTCAGCAGCTCCCGATTCTAAGCTTCTGATCAACGCAAATTACTTTTAAATATCAAGTGGCAAGTGTCGGGAGAAGACGGCAAATAACGAAGCCTGTTCTTATTATGCTAGGGAGAAAGTGTGCGAAACAATCTTAACCAACTTAAAAAGCTTCAGGCGAAAGAATCGTCGATCCTGGCTCTGTAAAATAAAGTAGTTTCTTAGCTCGTTGTTCGACAGGCCAGTGGCCTTTATCTTTGCCCAAAGAGAACTCAATCTGATCTCGTTTTGCTACTTAAAACTTGATCAAAATTTTCAAAAAGTCTTGCCTTTTGCAGGTACCTTTCTTGAATACCTTGCCCAGCTTACTCCATCCGCAGTGAGTTGGTAAACTGCTTACAATTATGTCATGGGGTAACTCAACCGAATATAATCGAAACTGATCTACATCAGTAAGAGGATTAAGTGAGATGGTGAGGTGTACAACTAGACGTCATGTGGCTGAAAAGAGTTGGTCAACTGGTGCTAACAAAGCGACGACTGAGAAAAAGCTAGCTATTGCAAACCCCATTTATTCTGAGTCGATCAGCCAATCTTACTTATTTCTTTTTGTGTGAATAAAATTTTGTTGAATGGAATTGATCTCGTTTTGAAAGGAACAAGGCAAAAAACAAAAAGTGCTTGGTTTGTTACGGAAGCGTGACGGATATAAGAAACTTCCCGTTTCCGTCGAGTTTACAAAATACGGACACACGTTATTTCGTCCTGTGAAACGCTATATATGTGAGCCGTCTAAAGTGCAACTATTATGATAGAAATGACGATGACTAATGGAACTGGCTGGAGTAAAATTTTGCGTTTTATTCAGGTTATATCCGGAGGAACTGTGTAGACTAGAAAGTTTCACCTGTTTACCTTTACTTACAAGGAAAAATTACGCCAAGTCAATGTTCAGATAAAATAACTAAAGATTAAAGAGTGTGATAAGTAGACTGTAACATAGTTGAGGTTAAATGCCCTATTTTTAACGGTAAAAATGCCCGTTGTACTTATTTGGAGTGCTGCTACTCTCTCACATTCCCTCCGAAATGTCTAAAGAAAGGTTATTTAGGACCACTAATAAAAATTTATGGTAAGAAATGAGGTTTTTGTTTATTTTTTTAGGAACTGCCGGTGACTCTCTTGCATGGCATCATAATATGTCATTCTCCACCAATGATCAAGACGGGAGCTGTGCCGTTTTATATGAGGGAGCCTGGTGGTACAATAAATGTCATGACTCCAACTTAAATGGTCGCTATCTTAATGGGAGTCACTCCTCTTACGCCAACGGTGTAAACTGGTATCACTGGAAAGGCCATTATTACTCCGCCAAACGCGCTGAAATGAAAATCAAACCAGTAGAAGCCTAATCTGTAAAGTTGAGCCCTGTATACAGACACCGAAGGGACAAAAAAGCAACTACTATGGAGATTTCCGTTTTAAAGAGGTCACCACGATAACGCCAGTTGTCACATTCAAGACTCCGTTAATAGTTTTATATGTAGCCTGAACATGTAACAATCATTATTGAGGGCGCTCAGAAGGGCTCTGGTACTCGCAACCCAAAACCCGCCTGGATGACCGAAATAACGTCTGTTGCGCCCAGGCCAGACTTAAGTGTTAAGCAACCAAATAGTACTTCCGTTATTGTTTATAAACTGTATCTAAATTGATTACTGTACAGTAGTGAAACACTGAGGGCCATTTATACGAAAGCATAAATGTAAAATAAAACGACGCGTCTCGAATAAGATACGACGCTTACATAAGACGCGCATTTCTAGTTTCAGAAACCTGCCTCCCATAATGAAATAAAGTTGCGCCGTTAGCATGTAGCATACTATAATGATAGTTTTTTTCAAACTTTATTGTTTGCCTTTAACTAAATCTTTTCTGCTGGTAATCTCTTGCCAGACCTGGTGATAGGGATAGATCTGCTTGGTCAGTGCTTTGAATTGTTGCTGGTGAGACTTTCAAATTTTTCGGGTGGAAGATTTTTTTTTCTTTTCTCGCTAGAAATTCGGTGCACTATTTGCGCTTTTCAGCAAGTTGTATATCACATATGTGTTCATTTTAAGCTGAAATTACAATAAAAATGTAGGTGAAACAGCATTCAAGTGCCACATGTGTTTCTGTCTTACCTTTATTAGTTGCGTTTATAGTTGTAAGCCCTATTTTAAGGTTACAGTGTGCTCATACACCTTGATTTTACATATTTTTTGAGCCCGACCATTAAGGAAATTTCTGCAAGCTCTTATCTAATAGATTCCCTACCATTTTCTGAAGTTTATTTTTTTATATTTCATTCCCCAGGTTAGGCTATATTTCGTGGAAAAAGGAAGCCTAAAATTTCTTGGTTCGAAAATGTGATGGGGAGAGGAATCAAAAAAATTCTCACTTTTGTAAAACGTTTTAACGTTTTAAAATTGGATCTAAAAATTTTTGGTCAATAAATATTGAAGAGCTCAGTAATTTCTAAAAGAATCAAGTTCCCCTAAGATGACCGAACAGGTACAAATTTTATAGCTTCGCTTAGAATGCATTTTTAGATCTCTAAAAGTACTCTGGATAGCCTAAAAAGTGTTTTTAATGCATTTAGGAGGAAACCGGCTTCGTTGGGTACCCCTGTATAGTTAACGACCATCTTATATGCGGACACCATAGCAGGTTTAAAATCAAGTAGATTTTGCATATATTCAGCTTAGTTCTGGCTGGAAAATAATCAGTTCCATTTATCTTGAAGGCAACTGAAAATACCCTCTTTGAACGGTCGGCGTGCCGTTAGGAAACGTCCTCTAAAGTGGGGGTGTTTAAAAGGGACCTTTTCTTGGTAGTGGAGGGAAAACGGTGGCTTCATCTTTGGTACGGAGACACACGTGGTGGAAGTAACACTTTCATGGTCTGCAGTGTTTTTTCTGCTCTCTTATCCCTCCTGAAACAGTTCTTCTAAGTTGGCATAAACAAATAATGAAATTTTGTCAAAATAACCCGTACTCCAGTCAATGATAGCCAGTGGCACCGGCCTCTGTCCAAACGTCAAATTCTCTACAATCATATATTAACCCATTGTGATCGCGTGTGTGTTAGGCTTGGATAAATTCTACTCATAAAATGACTTATTCTGCCTGCCGGCAGTGCTCGTAAAAATCGCTTATTCTGCTCAAAATACTGGTCGGACCCCCTTATTCTGCTCCAATTCTGCTCGGTGTCCGAAAAAGTTTCGCTAATGTAGATTGGAACCTGGGCCTTACTCCTAAAAACTAATTGGATAAATCATTATGCGTAATGTGAGTTTAATGTGAGTGCGTTGTAGCTTTTAAATAATCAAATTATTTACAAGGCTTATTTTTCCATTTGTTTTTTACTGTAGTTTTAAATTATTCTTACCACTGTTATGCATATCATTAGTGCCGCTGATTGCCCTTCTTCTGCTCGAAAATGCCTTATTCTGCCAGCAGAATGCTCGCCTCAAAAATCGCTTATTCTGTTAGAAATTCTACCGGCAGAATTTATGCAAGAAGCCTAGTGTGTGTGTGCTTCTATAGTTGTGTATGTCAGAAGTCGCCCCACGTAAGGTAATCTGGAATCCGGGAAATTATTACTTATGGAATCAGGAATATTGGAATTCGGAATTCAGTTCAAGGAATCCGAAATTCCGCTAACGATTGGAATCCGGAATGTAAGTTCTATTGACAAAGAATTCGCAATCCAGTTCCTGGAATCCAAGACAGTGCTGTATGACAAAAGCGCTCAGTGACCAGCGGAGTACCACAAGACTAGTGAGGTGTTGCAATGCCTGCCACAAATCTACGCCTTTTGAAAAAGCTTTTGCTACAAAGGTTTCATCTAATAATTGGATTGCCAGTTTTACAAATAAAGGACCTTACAAGTATGGTCGTAGATGGAGAAGGCTTGCAGAGCAAAGTCACTTTAAACGATGGCTATAAAATGCTTCTCTTCGGTCTTGGAGTGTTCAAGGCTTTGAGTGATGATGGAAAAGGGGCGGTGAAGTTTGCTCTTCAGAATGGATACAGAATAATTGATACTTCAGCTCTCTACGGGTAAGCATGTAGCATTGCTTTGTGAGCCACTCGATCATGTGATTAAAGAGAAAACTGAAATTAATGGACGTCGTGTAAATCGTCCGAGAACATCTGATTACCGTTGCATGAAGTACCCTTAGTATTGCCTATAGTGAAGTTACGCAATAGGACGGGAGAGAACCGTGTGTTTAATACAGTGCCGTTCAAAAGTAAGTTGACAGTCTGTTGCAAGTCTCGATTCTCGACTCGATTCGCGATTCTCGATTCCATCCTCTTGCCAAAGTTTCGAAATGGTCCCATTTCATGTTATGACCAGTTGACGTGGCATGGTCAAGCGCTTCTACATTTAAATTCTTGTTGTTACTCACACGGGTATTCAACGGTCTAGTCAAGATGTATGTTGGAACTTATACGAAACGTCGAATTAAAGACTTTTTTCTTTCCAGAAATGCGTTTATGTTTCTTCATATTTATCACCGCAGTTTGCTTTACGTTTCTCCTTTTAAAAACTAAGATGGCCAAAAAACAAAAGTATCTACGATTAAGTTTTCAAAAATCACAATTTCAATCCGAATTAATCTACTTCTTCAGTTCGTCCATCCGAGCTTTCTTCGTATATGCCGCCATGTGTGTGAGTTTTGTATCTTCTTTGAATGTTTTGAGCTGTAATTTTTATCTTTCTCGCAATTTAGTGGCACTGTTCCCACTGACTGAATTTCCCTAAATTTCTTGACACAGCTCCGCTAAGAAGTACAGTATGTTGCCCATTATCCGGCCACTTCAGTTAGAACATTACAACAACTTTCCTTTGTTAGCCGCAAGAATTCTGAAATTTGGCCCAGAGACAATTTATTTAGTCCTTAATTTCATAATGACGAAAGACAGGTTAGAGTGTTATGGAGGGTGCGTCAAGTCCTCGTTGAAAGCTTTCCGGCATCACTGGCGAACTTAAGCACAATTGACTAAGTGAGAAAGAATTGAAGCCAGTTCTGTAATTTCATGAAGGTGCGATTGTCTTAGACTTAGACATCTAGGCCGTGCCAATTATTAGCATTGTTATGCTCAGAGAACAAAACTCTTTTCTGTTAATTCTTTCTTCCACTCCGGCCAGTGTTGTTGAAAATTAGTGCCAGTTCAGCAACAGAACGCTGGAGAAACCTCCTTAGCGAAATAATTAAGCACCCGTCTTCAGCTTGTAGAGGAAAGCCAAAATTTTAAACAAGTAAACCGGAATAAGCTCCGGCAAATTGATACAAAAAAGAGCCGTCTTTGCTCGGTCGCCTGAAGCATCAGATTTACGACAATATCAGCCTTTTCCGTCTCACGCTAAGCATTGTAAACCAAGAAAAAATTCTGGTTGATTTAAGAAATGCGGAATAATAAAGTATTTTCGAAAATGGGCACATTATAAGTAAACATGCTGTAAGGAACGTGTCCGTTTAATTAACACAAAATATGTCGTTCTTTCGTTCTGATCTGATCAGTAAACTCAACTGAAATTTCATTCGCGTTTTAGTCGAGTTTATGGAGTTTTTTAAGCGGTTGTTTAACATTGGGCAAGAAGATAATTGAAGAAGACATGCAGAGAATGAGTTTTAACACGTACTCGGAAAATACAAACAGTATATTTGTTGTGTCTATTTTCACTAAAAGACCAAACTTATAAACCTTAAACTCGAATGCAAGTCGTGGGTAGTGGGTAGTGGTCGTGGGTCGTGGGTGTGGGTGTGGGTAAATGTCGTGGGTAAGAAAAGTATAGAAAAAATGATAAAGTAAAGTAATTGAAAAAAAGAAATAAATAGAAAAAAGTTCTAAAATATTTGTGAAACGAAAACCTCCAACTCCTTGATTGCCTTTTTCGTCATGGCTTCTTCTTCGTCCTCCCAGTTCCTGTGGGACTTGGCTCCCCTTTCACAACATCACTGTATAAAAGACATTTTGCCGATGAAGATTTATCCATATCTGAGCTATCGCCGCGAAATAAACGAAACAGACGTAAATTATACCTGCAATTTGCGGAAAGTATGGGACAGCTCTGACTCGCTGAACTGAATGGAAATAGCTGCTCACTATTTATCTTTATTCGATCTACAATTCCAATGATCAGTAGAGACTTTTTAACACGATGGTATTCGATCACCGTGAGAAAGGGGAGGGAAAAAGGACAATTTTTAGGTATTTCATATTTTTGGATAGAAGTTTTAGGACTCAATTATCTTACGAAGGAACCACCTTCATTCCCAACCTTTCAAGTTAAGGCGAGACAGTATGTAAATTTTATTGCCGCACCAAACTATGAATACAGCTTTCTCAATTCTTGTTTTTGT